TTCAAATAATAGTTTAAAAGAGACCGTTCAATTGCATATCAATTTTTAATAAAATTTTGGTTCTGCAGAGCTGTGTTGAACTATTCTTTGAAAAAAAAAATCTAAGCAACACATGTTGAAGTAATAAGTAGCTGAATACCTCTTTGGCTGAAGCCGTAAACCAAAACCTGATAGATAAACGTGTGTCTCACAGATTCTCATTTATTAAAAATGCATTTTCTTTAACTTGCTTGATGTCAAGGTGTAGAGTTATTGTGCTTCTCACATTCGAGTTCTGCTGGATGTCCTTGTTCTTTAGTGCGGATGGAGCTCAAAAGGCCAGCGTCGTGCTCACTTCTTCCTGCACCTGGAAGGGAGGGGGCCTGCAGTGTGGCGCTACTGTAGTCCCTCCCTCGTACATTGTGTAGAGTGTTTCAGGCTTCTCATCCTCCTCCACCTCCAGCTCTTGTCGACAAAACGCCCACGCCACCCACAGCCAGCTCAAACTCGGCACCTCGTCTCCATGGATATGCAGGCCTACTGTCAAAAATAAAACCACTTAACCCTCTCTTTGCTGTGCGGAGCTTTGCAGGGAGAAGAGCTGCTCTCCAGTGAGTCGTTATTAAGTTTAAAAAAAAAAGATGAGGAATAAAAAGCTTAATTACCACTAAGACTGATGAAGATCTTCTCATCACCACATAGTCGTATTGTTACGAAAATCTGGTAGGCTGGCAATGAAATAATTAATTTAAATGATTTTCTCTTAGCTGAATGAAGACAGCAGCACATATGAATCATACATGCTTTTGTTTGATACTTTAATCATTTGCAGCGTAAACAATTAAATTGCTAATTTTTAACATTCACAGGCCAAATGTTTGACACTAATAACAGGACATCTCTGTGGTCTTCACAGCAGCTTCCAGCTAGTACTTTTTAAAGTCTTAGAGTGGCTGTGCGTGGCGGTGTGGACAGTGTTTTGAGGCAGTTGAGTGGGAGGTCAAAGGGCAGCAGATCAGCAGAGTTCACTAGACAATTAGTTTCTCAAGGAAAGATTGTTTAAAGCTTTCTCACACTGGGATCTGAAAAGGGATAATAAAGCACACCCAGCTCTCTCTGCTGGCTCCCTCTTTGTTTAACATTATTCCTGAGGAATGTGCAGGAGTACTACACTTAGCTCAGTCTTATCTCTGAGGATGACATAATAGATGCAGTAGGTCTGGATGAGGAGTATGTGGATATCTGTGGTGAGCAGATCCCAGCAAGCTGAATGTGGGGGAGTGAGTGTGACAAGGAGAAAAACCTTACTAATGTTGAACGGTAGTTTGAAATCTAGATATATCTAACTTGAAGAAACACAATCTATGGAGCAACCATACTGTATTTATAATATTTATGGATATTAAAGTTTATTTTTATGGCCTTGTGTTTTTGTACACTGCTCTGCTGGCTCTTTTCTGTTGCACTAACTATTAAAAGTTTGGACTGGTAATCAAATTTGACTTGCCATAAGTCGGTATCCATGGATCGGAAACACCTTTTTGAGTCACACATTTCTTGGGAGACTCACAAATTCAGACTTTTGGAACTCAAACCAATCATGTGAGATGAAAGCATGAGGAATGAAAATAGTGGGACCACCGGGTCATTGATATCTAATGAGAGGAGATCTGACAGTTTAGTCTCTGAACTGAATACAATAATAATAATAATAATAATAATAATAATAATAATAATAATTCACGTTTCTCATCGTCGTCTGTCTTTCATTACTTTACTCTTAACAAGAACAAACTTGGAGGCACTGCAGAAAAAACTAGAGGAGCTCGAGTTGGATGAGCAGCAGCGGAAACGCTTGGAGGCCTTTCTGACACAGAAGCAGAAAGTGGGAGAGCTGAAGGACGATGACTTTGAGAAGATCTGCGAGCTCGGTGCCGGCAATGGAGGAGTTGTCTTTAAGGTTTCCCACCGACCCTCGGGTCTGATTATGGCAAGGAAGGTAAGCTGCAGCACAGCTGTCTGAAAGCTATTTTTTTACTCCAGTATGTCCAAGAGGCATCATTACTCCAGTGTTTGTGCACAGCCTTAAATGTGGGTTAATGGGACAGCAGACCGTCTGAAAACCCAAGTGCTGCTGTTAAAAATCGTCCCCTAGCTGAAACAAGATGTGCTTCAATATTAAATCTTTTTCCTTAATGATCATTTTTGGTCATAAAGCATGTTCTTGTCTATGCTTGTGTTGTCTAGCATTTGTCTTCTCTGTGTTACGGAAGCATAATTAAAAACATGAGCCCTGCTGTGTTCCAGCTGATCCACCTTGAGATTAAACCAGCCATCAGGAACCAGATCATTAGGGAGCTGCAGGTGCTACATGAGTGCAACTCCCCATATATTGTGGGCTTCTACGGGGCTTTCTACAGCGATGGGGAAATCAGCATCTGCATGGAGCATATGGTATAGTTTATTAATGTTATGCTTGCCAGTGTTTTCCCCGTAGTGTTTTTGCTTTCTTTTACAGACTATACTGAAAGTTGTTAGGTATTTCTTGCCCTCCATTTACAGCCTGGTTGGTATGGGAACAAGCTATTTTTGATAAAATGTGTTGTTTGTTCCCATCTGTTGTTCATAGGATGGTGGCTCCCTGGACCAATCACTGAAGAAAGCAGGCAAGATCCCAGAGCAGATCCTTGGCAAAGTCAGCATTGCTGTGGGTAGCTTTAATACCTCTCCCACTTATTTCATGCTCTGGCCGTCACATTAGAGCTAAGTTTCTTGTACTTCTTTGGCAGTACCAAATTATCTGTGCCTTTGCTGTGCTTTTATGCAATGTTTGTCTTTGCAGGTAATTAAAGGTCTTTCCTACCTGAGGGAGAAGCACAAGATCATGCACAGAGGTCTCTATTTCAATTAAATATAATTTAATTTTCTTGACCTGGCCTTTAAACGCATAAATACCTTTCCTTAGTTTTGCTATACATAAAGCCTAGATCAAATCATATGTCTGGCACTAGCAGAGAGGTGAAGATATGATTACATGGACGTCTGATTTGGTTTTTTTATTAGCCAGTATGTTTTTGTTATGTCTGAGGGGGAAGTTTAAAGCTCTTGTTTTTTGTGATAGTTACATTTGAACAGATTTTTTTTTCACTTTAACATTTCTTTCTGTCATATTGTGGTCATACTGGGTGTAAAAGCTTGTTTTCTAACATAGAAGTGGAGGCGTGACCTGACAGCAACACAGTGATCACCTACCTCTTGTTTTAATACAAACTTAGAATACAGTCAATCCCTATTTTAAGGCTCAGTTAAATCTTCGTTGTAGGGATGAAACTGTAAAACCAGTCAGCACAAGCAGCACAAAATGCCTGCAGCAGTTTGTTCTGTGCTGATGCTGCCTGTTGAAACACTTGCCCACTGTGTTCTTCTAAACACTGCGTGTCCCCCTTTCAGATGTCAAGCCTTCTAACATCCTAGTGAATTCCCGTGGTGAGATCAAGCTGTGTGACTTTGGAGTGAGCGGACAGCTTATAGACTCCATGGCCAACTCCTTTGTGGGCACTCGGTCGTACATGTCGGTCAGTTAAAATGGAAAACTCATCAGTAATCTGGCTGCAAGTTTACGTGTGCCACTTAACATAGCTGTCATTTACCTGCAGGTTTAGAAATGCAATAAAATAAGTAAAAGCTATACTACTGATAACTGACACTACTTGTGTTATGTGTTGTTTAGCCTGAGCGCTTACAAGGCACCCACTATTCTGTTCAGTCGGACATCTGGAGCATGGGTCTGTCACTGGTTGAAATGGCCATTGGACGCTTTCCTATTCCACCACCTGATGCTAAGGAGCTCGAACAGATTTTCGGCTTCCCAGTGGAAGGGGAGGCAGCCTCCAGTGATTCCTCCCCAAAGCCGCGGCCCCCTGGGCGACCTGGCAGCTGTAAGTCTGAGAAGGCTCTGCTTCTTGCTGTAACTCTGAAGTTACAGCAGCTTTATATCATTTCAAAAAGCTCTGATGAAATAGCTTAAATAAGTTACAGCATAGTCATTGAAGTAATTACACATCTAACCTACAAGGGGCTGATTATTTTGGTTCCACCCCCTTAACAGCATATGGCCCAGACAGCAGACCTCCGATGGCCATTTTTGAGCTTCTTGATTACATCGTTAATGAGGTGAGTTTACTGGATTTATCTACACATGCTGGTATGATGCAGATAGATGCTAGGCTACAGTGTATTAATGCCTTTAGGAGCAATTTAACGTGATATTTGACTTACACAAACCTCTAAATTTCAGCCTCCACCAAAACTGCCTGCTGTATTTAGTTCTGAATTCCAGGACTTTGTTAATAAATGGTAGGTAGAAGACAGTTTTCTCTCACCTACACTGCACATAATCTTATGCCACCTAGTGGTGTTTCACGGAACTACACTAAGATGTTTTGTTTCCACTCCAGCTTGATTAAAAACCCAGCAGAGAGAGCAGACTTGAAACAGTTGATGGTAAGATTTGCACTCTTAATATTCACTTATTAAACTCCTTATCTCTATGCATCTAAAAGTTCTCCTTTTCTTCAGGTGCATCCTTTCATTAAAAACTCCGAAGCAGAGGAAGTTGACTTTGCTGGCTGGCTGTGCACCACCATTGGACTCAGTCAGCCTTTGACACCAACACATGGTACCATAATGTGAGGCCTGTTCTGCCTACAACACCCACATCAAAGTCTTCTAATGACTAATTTCTATTATTGGTATATAAAACTGTTTATACTGATTAAAGTGTACAAACCTAAATGCCAAGTGAAACTATGTATTGAACAAGTCTTTGGGCTACCTTGCAGGCCTTCCTGAAAAGCCATCTTTTTTCTAAAGATTTAATTTAATCTTGACAAATGCTGCTCTACCTGTGCTTGATATTCCTTTGTAACCCCAAGTCTTCACAGTGTAAAACCTTTGCTAGCTTATGTGGAATAAATAAGTCCTGTGAATAAAAAGTTTGAATGACAGGTCTGACTCATGCATTTGAAACAACTGATTTATTCATCACTGAACTCCAGTCTGTATGTATTGGTTTATGCCTTGGGCTTAGCAGGTGCACCCTTCTTTCCGGGCCTCTTCTTGGGTTTCAGCATCTTGGCCTTAATCTATGGTGAGAACAAAGAGGGGCTCTGAGTTACCATCAACAAATAGACATACAGTTTTTACTTTCATCGTTAACTGATCAGGCTCTTACCGCAGGGTCATGCTTGAGGATGGCATGACGTCTTGCTGTCTTGGCGTAAGGATTCAGTTTGAGCATTATGTTCAAATTCTTCAGAGGATTCTTCTTCAGAATTCTGCGGTTGAGCTTCTTGCTGTAATGACAATACAATCCACCCTTGAATATGTGAGCTTCTGCTTAACTACAACTTCAGTGAAACTTTCTGCATCACTCAGGACTTCCATATAATCAGGGTTCAGAAACACGGACCTGAAGTGGAAAATCATCATAGCTGGCAAATAAGACCTCGGGGGAAAACTACACTGAAAAATGCTTACTTGGGTGCACGAAGTGCTTTCTGGATCTCCTCACTCTTCAGAATCCTGGTCAGGTCTGTATTGGTCATCTTGTGCATTGGCAGGCTGAAGGAAGAAGAGTCAAGAATTAAAGTCCCTCGTGCATGAAGGCAAAAAAGTCGTATGATAAGTTTTATGTTGCTCAAACTCAGAACTTCATTAAATATCACATAGTTCAAAAACACGGACCATGAAGTGGAAGCTCATCACTGTTGTACACCAGCATGATACACTGCACTTGTACTTTTAGAGTGCATGCTCTCAAAATACTCAAATACTCACTTGTAGTCAACCTTCAGGGAGGCAGCCTTGCGCCATGTGCCGTACAGGTCATCCAGCTTGCGGAAAGCACTCTCGGTCCAGATGCAGAACCGTCCAACGTGACCACCGGGAGCGAGCCTCAAAAGGTTCAGTTTGTTCACGTTCAGCAGAGTGATGCCTGCAAAATGCAGCACAATCAAACATCTGCATGTTGATGAACCAATTATCTTAAAGCTATAGTGAGTTTTAAAGGGCAATTGACTTATTTAAGACTCAACTATGCTATAAACACTACAATTACAACTCATCAGTATTCAGGCAGACTTAAAGTTACACATGCATAAATGAAGAAAACAGAGTTTAATTGAAAGCAAAGTTAGTTTTAGAATCTTGGTCATTTTATTCCATTTCATCCAATAGAATCATCCATTTTAACTATACCTTAATTAAATGTAAGAATCATAATATCCATTTTCTAACACTGTAATAAATTCTAAATTTTAAATGGGACATTTACCGGGGATATTTCTGAAGGCTTTGGTTAAGCCAGCATCTTGGTTATAGATAATGCACGGCCCTCTGCGCTGGATACGTCTGCGATTCCTCATCTTACCCTTACCGGCACGCATACGCTGAGAGGCATAGACCTGAGAAGAGCAAAGAAAACTCCCATTATTAATAATTAAATGCTCCTAATGCCAACTCAAGAAGAAAAAAAAAAAGAAGCATGATTTGACTTCGGAAAAACTACTGATGAAACTCAGTGTTCCTCAGTGTTTTGAGGTTACTGTACCTTCTTAATGTCATTCCAGGCTTTGAGCTTCTTCAGCAGCAGCACTGCCTCCTTGGTCTTCTTGTAGCCCTCAACTTTGTCTTCAACCACCAGTGGGACCTCAGGGATTTCCTCAATGCGGTGTCCTAAAAGGGAAGATTGTCTTTGACTGATTCTTAACAATGACAGAGAAAACTGCTAGGACTATCAAGGTTACAGCATTAACTACACTTGCTCAGATTTAAAGGACATCAATACTCTGTGACAGCTTAGAGACGGCAGGCAACCGTCACTGTTCACAAGCTCAGACGCAAATTACACCATCACAGCAAG